CCTTAAGCTAGCAACTCCCAAAGCAAGATTTTTTATTAAATGTTTTATTAAACTTTGTGCACATGTCCCCTATAATGTTCCACAGCATAGACTAAATGTTTCCAAAACAGAAAGGTGCAGATCAGCTAAAAAAAAACATATGACCGGCTGAGAAGGTGGCCATACATACATCTGGGTTACTCCCTTTCCAGGTTGCTATGACCATGCCATGAATAGTTTCAATAGGATTATATGGTGTAACAATCAACACTGCATAGGAGTACGTTTTTAATACTGCTGGAGGCTTCAAAACTTCACATCTTAACACACAAAAAAGCTCATGAGAGCAGGAGTGGCTAAGACACCATCGTACCAGTGCTTCTGACTGCAAGTTAAAATGACATCTTGCACATAACCATGGGTGAAGAACATTCCCAGCACAGTTCTCATAGCATAGCCCTCATAACATCCATATACAGGGCATTTCACTCTGTACCTCCCCCCCCCCCCACTAGAACCAGCAGCTGATGAGAGCACACATAGCATGGACACCCACACCACACATAGCCATAGCAGAACTAACCATTCTGCATTGATTTCAGACTCCAGATGATCAATGTGAGCCACAATGTGGGAACAGAGTTATGAGTTCACACTCCTCCAAATCTCCCACAAAAAAATGGGGTGCACAGTAGGAATAAAGAGGCTGTGGCCTATGACACCAGAGAGCCTGCAGATCACCTTCAACTTTCTCAGTAACCCTTCAGTAACCCAGAAGAGGCTGAGCGCCAGATCACATCATTGTAGAACACCAGAAAGGACAAGGGGGGAAAGCCTGGACACTTGGGAGAATGGAGAGGCAGGCATAATCTGTCAAGGCTAGGAGAACAGTACCTCATCTCACGCAGGAAAAACCCAAGCGGATAGGACAGTAAACCAGAAACAGTCCAACAGTATGTTCAGTACTACATGCCAGAATTAGCCACAAACAACAGTGAGAATGACAACAGTGAAGCCGTCGAGGAGCAAGAGATCTTGACCCTGGATAGTAGTCTTATTAGCATACAGAACTGGACACATTCTTCACAGACTCACGTGAGTCACAGTACAATGCTAGGCCTCAACACCTGAAGAGGCAGCTCACCCGATAGAGCCTCAATCCCATCAAGGATGGTTTTCCCTTAAGGTAAAGTGGACGATGCACCATGATTTGTTCAGGCAGCTCTGGAGAAGCTCTGGGGGCAAGAGCTTGCAGTTTATAGACTGCTCCAACCCCCCACTGCTGGACCATCTGCCCACTCCGTCCAAACCATAACCCCAGAACCACTCCACGGCAAGTGTCTTCAGCATGCTCCGCACACCACTGCATGATTTTGTCTTCTAGAGGGGCACAGAGGAACCCCCAAGTTTCCTGCTGAAGCTTCACAGGTTTCCACATACCATTTCCTCCACAAACTGTAAGGTGGTCAATGGCCTCCCCCATGGGCATTTGACATGGTCTCATCTCCATGCCAAACCACAATTTCCCCTAGAGCTTAAGGGGCTATATGCATTCAGCCATCAAGCTGTGTTATGGTAGTGGTGTTCTATATGGAGGATTTTAATAATTACACAGGACCAACAAAACCCAGCACCAGAAACTTAGTGCACATGTCCCCTATAATGTTCCACAGCATAGACTAAATGTTTCCAAAACAGAAAGGTGCAGATCAGCTAAAAAAAAAAAAACATATGACCGGCTGAGAAGGTGGCCATACATGCATCTGGGTTACTCCCTTTCCAGGTTGCTATGACCATGCCATGAATAGTTTCAATAGGATTATATGGTGTAACAATCAACACTGCACAGGAGTAAGTTTTTAATACTGCTGGAGGCTTCAAAACTTCACATCTTAACACACCAATCCAACTGACAAAAAAAAGCTCATGAGAGCAGGAGTGGCTAAGACACCATCGTACCAGTGCTTCTGACTGCAAGTTAAAATGACATCTTGCACATAACCATGGGTGAAGAACATTCCCAGCACAGAGGAACCCCCAAGTTTCCTGCTGAAACTTCACAGGTTTCCACATACCATTTCCTCCACAAACTGTAAGGTGGTCAATGGCCTCCCCCGTAGGCATTTGACATGGTGTCATCTCCATGCCAAACCACAAAGCTTTGTTATTCAAGCTCACTGTGCACAAGACTAAGAAAGCCTGTCGGTAACAGCCACTATCATAAAGGGATCCATTGTCTAGCTTACCATTAGGCATGTAACGATGAATTGTGAATCGGTTAAAAATCGATGTAAATGTATGACGATTTAAACCAGCTGATGTGGAAAATGAATCACTACTTTAAGAGTACTTCACAGTACTTTAACAGAAAAACTGGTATAATATTACATTTGATTTCACATCGTCAGTTCAACGTCAGATATCAATGTGTATTCACGTCGATGTTGCACGTCGGTTTTTGGTTTTGACCAAACGTGAGATGGTGAGCGACCGCTGGGCGGCACGGTGCCGCAGTGCTTAGCACTGCTGCCTCACAGCAAGAAGATCCTGGGTTCAGTCCCGGGTCCTTTCTGTGTGGAGTTTGCACGCTCTCCCCATGTTCACATGCGTTTTCACTGGGGGCTCCGGTTTCCTCCCACGGTCCAAAACCATGCAGGATAGGTTGATTGGGGAGTCTAAACTGGCCCTGTAGTTGTGTGAGTGTGTGCGCCCTGTGGTATGTTGGCAACTGTCCGGGGTCGGTTCCCGCCTGTGCCCTTTGTTCCCGGGATAGGCTCCAGTCCCCCCCGCGACCCCAGTTTTATCTTTCTGGTAATCACAAACGAAAAGGTGAGAGAAGCACAGACAAGACAAAAACTGCATGCAAACATTGTAAAAGACTGATAACATACACAAATTGCACAACGAACATGCTTCAGCATGTCCACCAGCACCAGTGAGCTCAAGTCACCAACACCAGAGCAAAAATTACTAAAAGGGCAAACCACGCTAAAAAGCTGCACATGCAAGCCTGAGTTTATTTATTTGAAGATTTTTATTATATACTTATTTTAATTTGGGATTTTTAAAAAACAGTATTTTATTCAATTTCAGTTGCACTGTTAAGAAGGGGATACATTTTGCACAGTTTAGAAAGATAAAGGAATATTTTTTAATAAATTTGTCTGCAGCTCATTCTGTTAAATTGTGAGAAAATCGTATCATGAACTCTGAAGCATGAATCATGAGTTGAGTGTTTCATTACATCCCTACTTATTAATGATTTTTGGGGTGAACAAGGTAAACGCTATGACCAAACAGCACAGTCATCAACTGAAACCTGCACCACTTCCGACCCAACTCTGAATCTCATCTCGGGGTACTGAACTTGGTGTAAAGGCTTGTACAAACACATTTCAGAGGAAGTGACCTTACAACATAAGCAGTACATGATGGAGACACTGGAGTGAAACCCGAAAAAGTGCCCACATACTATAAAAGCCTCAATATATACGTAAACTGAACTGATGATTTACACATTCTGATAGATTTGCTCAAATTTCACATGTCCAAATGACCATCCATCTTAGGCTGTTACTGGGTCAGCACCTTTCGAAGGCAGGTTACAAAGCATGGGAGACACCTTAAGTTCTGTAAGTTCTTGTCTACCTAAACAACCCAGAAATTATCTATGTAAGCAAGACACGGTGCATTGAGCATTACATTCAAAGAGCCATGATTTTACAGTTCATGTTCCAAACCATGTCACTGCTGATGCAACCGAGAAGTTTGGTATAATGTGGGAGGACATACATAACTGACATAAAGAAAGAAAATGACACGTCACCAGAAATCATCACACAAAGATTTGTTTGTAACAGAGCTGCTCTTTTTCCTTAAGACTAGACTTGGACTAAAAGCCCTCACTCCAGAAATAGGATGACAGCATACAACAATTTCCCAAGAATGTGCATGCTAGAGGAGATGATAAACAGGTGTAAGCCATGCTAGAATGTTCCCAACCAGGTCATTTTTCAGTGTCTACTTCAAAAAAAAAAAAAAGGCTAGCCAAATTGTCTTATTAGTCAAAGGCTTACTCGTCATAAGTTACTACTTACTAGTAAAAATAAGTCTTACTTAATAGTAATGCAATTTTTAGTAAGAAAATTAATTTAAGATGTCTATAATGCAATTAATACTAGTAAGAATGATAATTTTTACCAGTAAGAATTCATTATAGAATTCTATAATTCAGTTTTAACTAGTCACATATTCCCATAGACTTCCATTATACATTGCCTCACATATCCTGAATTCAATTTTTACTAGTAAAAAGTCATGCTGTACAGCTCTATAATTCCTTTCTTAATAGTAATTGATTTTTTAATACTAATAAACATTTAATTGTAATGTAGAGATCTTAAATTAGACATGCCCAAAATGTGAATTTCAGATCTATATTATGTAATTGTAGAGATCTGTGATTAAATTATGTATATGTGGACCTGGAATTCTTACTAGTCAAAATGTGATTATAGATATCTACAAGGAGTTCTTACTAGTAAGAACTACATTATAGAGCTCTACTACATGACTTTTCACTAGTGAAAACTGAATGCAGGATATGAGGCCAATGTACCATGGAAGTCGGTGGGAATATATGACTAGCAAAAATCAAATTGCAGAGCTCAATAATGTGAATTTTACCACTAAAAATACAATTCTTACTAGTCTAGTAAAAATGATCACTTACTAGTAATAATTGCATTATAGATATCTTGAATTCATATTCTTACTAGTAAAAATTGTATTACTATTGTATTACAAAAATTGTATTTTTACTACTAAGAATGTTACTTTTACTAGTAAGAATTAAGTTATGACGAGTAAGCCGTATACTAATAGAATTTGGCTTGCCATACGAAGGGCGCACTGTAAGACAATGACGAGTAGTTCTGATCGCAGAAAAATAGAAACGCAGAGCACGTAACTTAAGGAAGAGGGGTTACTCATCAGTGCGGTAAGTGAATAAAACGTCCTACCTGATTTTATAATTTGGCAAAGTATGTTTCTTTTTGATGACTCTCTTCAGCTGGTTGACGATTATGGATGTGAGCTGCGGCAGGGGTCGACCCTCGAACTGCGATTTCACCTCGAAGTCTATAAGCGGCTCCTCCAGGAAGGAGAAGGACCAGTGTGTGAACGGCATGCGGGTAAACTGCAGCTTGAGCCGGCCCGCAACCCGGGTCATCTTCACGAAGAGGTATGCGGACTTCCCAAACACCAGATCTACGTCGATGGCCAGGTGAAACCCGCCGTTGTACTCCAGGTCTACTTCAAAATTAAGCTCGTCGGGCATGCCATCCTCGTCAACCTCCACCGGCGTCATAAGTTTCGCCGTTTTGAACACAGGCAGTGAATTTCCCAAAGATATATCCCGGAGACTGAGTCCTTCTAAAAGCCGACCAGCAGTCTTCGTTTGTAGCAGCTCTTCGAACTCAACCTTAATCTTCTTAATCACCCAGTGTCTGACCACGGGAGTGTCCCGGAGCTCTCGGAATAAAAAGAGAAATATTGCATTGAGAAAATTACAAGTCTCCGGCTTTGGGATGTGGGGAGGCTCGCTGTGGGAAGGCGGCGGCTGTTTAGGGCTACTGCTGGGGACAGCCGCTTCCTGCTGCCTAGGGGACACGGCTTCTTGTTGTTTGGATGATCCGGATGTCGCGCTGTCCGGCTGCTGGCCCAATTCGACATGTTGATTATGAAGGTAATCCTTCAATGCAGGATCGGGCGATGCTTTGACATACTGTACTGTCCTGGCGATGGGCTCTGGGCTTCTCCGGTACAAGAGCAAAAGCTGCAATAGCAGAGTGACAAGCGCTCCGCACAAAACTGAAACGAAAATCACGTAAAACATTGCAGAGCTTTTCCGCGGCCGCCGACTTCGCACTACCACATCTTCATGATCCTCAATCCAAGCGTGTTAACAAAAGCGAGTTCCACCTGGCCGCTAACAAAGCTGCCATATCATCTACCTCTTTCCTGGGGCACAGGTCTCGGTCGCTGATTGGCCGGACGTCAGCGTAACGCCGCCCACTCGTGCGTGATGACGATACCTGACTATGCGTGTGGCGGTGAGTATTGTTTTTGTTGTAGATTATAAAGTAAGTAGTAGTTTAAAACGTCTAACATTTAGACGTGTTTAAAACATTTACGTGAGCAGACGTCCCTGAGATAGCCTCACGTTGCAGTTCTGGTAGTAAGTTACACTTTCGACAATCACCCGACAAACTTTGTCAAACTAAAGGTTTTAAACAGTGCGCTGTGAGGTAACGGCAAATTCTTGAACAGTAATAATCTCTCAGACGTCCGTTAAACACATACACACACCGTGTATAAGGTACATTTTAGCTTATCTAGCTGCTTGTCTTCTGGAAAACGTTTCACACAATAGGGAATAAGGGAGACGCCTGTTTACTTTAAAAATGATCAATGGAGATGGCGCCTCTCACATCGTTCAGCTAACAGCTTCCGTGTAATCACCGCTTATCTAGCACTGGGTCAAAGTAACCCTGGAGCTTATCTCAGGAAGCACATGCTCGGGGAAACTGTAAAAGAAATGTTAGTCTCTAACAGGGCAAGTGTGCACTCACTGTGGCTAATTTAGAGACACCAGTTGACCTACACACATTTTGTTACTATGAGAGGTAAACCCGTAGTGTGCTCGGTGTGGTCGCCCAAGCCTTCTGGGCAGGCCAAATAAGTCCATTTTTCACGTTCAACCCACTCCCACTGATGCATAAATGAGATGGGCAACCTTATTAAGACTACCAAAATATGTTATATGGATAAAAGTATTGGGACACCTGGCCATTACACCCATCGTAATATGGAGTTTGTCCCCTCTTTGCAGGTATAACAGTTACCACTCTTATGTGAAGGCTTTCCACAAGATTTTGGAGTGTCTGTGGTCATTTCTCCGCATTCATCCAGAAGAGCAATTGTGGCGTTAGGCACTGATGATGGACGTGAAGGCCTGGCTCGCAATTCCCATTCTAGTTCATTGCAAAGGTGTTCTATGCGGTTGAGGCCGTGGCTCTCTGTGGGCCAATCAAGTTCTTCCTCACCAAACTCACTCACCCATGTTTTTATGGACCTTGCTTCATGCACTGGGCCACAATCATGCCGAAACAGAAAAGAGACTTACCCAAACTTTTCCCACAAAGTTGGAAACATTGAATTGTCCAACATGTCTTGATACGTTGAAGCATTAAGAGATGTCTTCTCTGAAAGTAAGGGGCCTAGCACAACCCCCGAAAATCAACCCCATACCATTATCCCTCCTTCACCAAAAGTCTGGCAGGTAACATTCTCCTGGTATCTTCCAAACCCAGACTCATCCATCAGACTGCCAGAAAAAGAAGCATGATTTTTCAATCCACAGAACATGTTTCCATTGCTCCATCCAGAGTCCAGTACCGATATGCCTTACACTACTCCACCCGACACTTGGCATTGTGCCTCAGCAATATGTGTATCAGCACTCGGCGACTCTGCTGTGTAACTTTACATGATCTGCCACTTCATGACTGAGGTTCTGTTGTTCCTAAACACTGCCACTTTGCAATAATACCCCTTACAGTTGACCGTGGAATATCTAATATGGACGAAATTTCACAAACTGACTTATTACAAAGGTAGCATCCTATGACAGTGCCACGCTTGAATTCAGTGAGGTCTTCAGAATGACCCATTCTTCAACAAATGTTTGCAAACTTGATTGCATATCTAGGTGCTTGATTTTATACACCAGTGGCAATGGGTCTGAATATAACACCTGAATTCAATGATTCAGATGTGTGTCCCAATACTTTTGTCCATATACAGTAGTGTAATCACTCTGTGAAGAAGGCAGATTAAATGGCTTAGGAAAAAAATGTGGGGTAAGCAAAAAAACATTATAAACAAAACTTCAGCCATGCTCAGATCCAGTACAACTGGGGTAAGACACTATGTTGGAAAATGTCTTATTCTTTGTCTTTCTATTTCTCTGTTTTTGTATTCTCTCTTTATGATTTAGCAGTTATCACAGTACACCCATGTAAAGTACCTTGGGGCAACTCTATTGTGAAAGGCATTATATAAAAATAAATTGAATTGAACCATATAATAATAATAATAATAATAATAATAATAAACCTAATATAATGGATTTCAGACAGTTATTCCCATTAATGTCTCTTCACAATTCAGTCATTTTCCATGTGGAAGTAAATTAGATTAGTTTAGGTAATCCTTTATTAGTCCCGCAAGTGAGAAATTTGCATCGTCACGGCAGAAAGTGGACAGTACAAGAGCAGCAAAATTAAAAAACAATGGAATAAAAACTGTACCAACAGTGCAGTATAAAACGTACACTAAACAATCTGGAAAAATAAATATGGATGAGTGATTAAAAAATATAAACGTATATATACTCAGCAAAAAAAGAAACGTCCCTTTTTCAGGACTGTGTATTTCAACAATAATGTTGTAAAAATCCAAATAACTTTACAGATCTTCATTGTAAAGGGTTTTCGTGTAACAACACCTGCACAGGATCGGTACATCCGAATATCACACCTGCGTGACAGGTACAGGATGGCCACAACAACTG